ACTGCTTACAGCCAGCTCAGGAAGACACTGTCACATTCAATCTTTATTCACTGACATACAGTAAACAGATGCGCTTCCTTATCATTAAGATTGTACTGTGACCCGATCGCATTGTAAATGTCTGAAACTTTACTTTGAGTGCGAATCTGCGAAAGCATTGTACATAAATAGGGTCATCAAGGGCTCTGCCTCTAACCCCTCAAATATATACATACATATGTACAAATATCTGCCCCATATATGAGGATGGGGCTTGAGCCACTAGGAACAGTAGTCGTCCCGTCAGTCTAACTTGCGCTTCAGTTCAGTTCGGTTCATTTTTTGAGATAGGTCTGAGCATTTGAGAACCCTATTTTCAACGTAAAATTGGGTGCGGCATACAGAGGAGTCATGTGGGCTGAATTCAAACGGGTTGAAAATAGTAAGAGAAATTGGACGTGTCTCAGGGGAATGCAGTTCAGTGCACTTGAGGGAAATAGGTTACGCCTTCAAGCTCACTCTTGGTCACAAAAAATTGAAAGAAATAACAACAATATAAAGAGACCACAAGATAGAAAGTATTGAAATCTACATTTAAATAATAATAATAATAATAATAACAGTAATAATTATTTTTATTAAAGACTGGTCGAAGTCACATCAAAGAAAATAAAAATAAATTTACATGCGAATTTCAGACGAGGTAGGCAAAATCTGCACAAAGTGCAATACACAGTATTTGAATTAGAAGTCCGTTAGGCAAAATGATGATCGAGGGGTGACAAAAACTGCAAATTAAGATTCAAAAATAATTGGACTAATTATACAGAAGAAAAAAACCCTCGAAAAAATAGAAACAGGAAAATGCGGGCAGGACTGGCCTGCATGTGGCGGTATAGAATGGATTATAGTCGGATATCAACAGGGCCGAAATAAATGTCAGCTGTATATGGCATTGAATAACTGATGCCAGATCCTTGCTTAATAAGATGCCTTTGCTTCAGACTCAGGTTTTCGTCCATTGTCCTGA